ACGACACACACACACACACACACACACACACACACACACACACACACACACACACACACACACACACACACACACAAGACAACACAAGACAACACAAGACACACACACACACACACACATAAGACAAGACAACACACCCAAATCAACCAAACACAAGACAACACCCTTAGATGCCTGGCAAGACGCGGTTGGCGAATGCGACTGGCTGCGCGACATGGGTGAGGTTTTTCAAGCTGTAGCCGTACTCGTTAAGCCGCGCCTCGTACCGCTCAATCACAGCCTGGCACACGGGCGAAGACATGTCAACCACCTGCAGCCAGTCGTCCACCCACGCGTGCGTGGCCCCAAACTTGATGGTGACGTGGCGCCTGTCCCCGTGGTAGTGCAGCAGCTTCCGCCTCGTGGCGTGTGCTGGCTGCTGCGGGGTGGCGCCGTCGCCATTCCCGCCGCCGCTCGGGTCTGGCTGCAGGTGGATGTCGTGGTTGAGGCCGAGGAACGCCTCCATCTGCTGGACGTACGCCTGCGCCGCCCGCGCGGTTGTGCCGGAGAACCGTTCAAGCTGCAGGACAACGAGGTTGCTGACGACTTCGGCGTCCTTGCGAGCTGTGTCGTAGATGTGCAGCCAGTGTTGGATCTCCTGTTCGCCGCACGTGGCCACCTCATGCAGGTGAAACCCCTCCTGCGTGTATGCGGCGTGTGAGCAGCCGAGCGGGTGGCGCAGTGTCATGACAAAGTAGGTGCGCTTGAACATGCTCTGGAAGTACCGCATCTTGAGCAGGTGCGGTGGTGACTTCTCAATCAGGGCGGGCTTGCTCAGGTCCCAGTAGCGTGCCCACGCGTCGAAGATGCGCACGCGGTTCAGTGGGGTGAGCAGCATGCTTGTTTCCGTCATGTAGCTTTCTTCCCGGTACCCGTACATGAAGGGCCCGCCCAGCTCATGCGCTGGCTTGTACACGGGCTGCAACGATGTAGTTGTATGTGTGTGTGTGTGTGTGTGTGTGTGTGTGTGTGTGTGTGTGTGTGTGTGTGTGTGTGTGTGAGTGAATGGTGAGTGAATGAGTGAGTGAGTGAGTGAGTGAGTGAGTGAGTGAGTGAGTGAGTGAGTGAGTATCAGTGTGTATGAGTGAGTGAGTGAGTGAGTGAGTGAGTGAGTATCAGTGTGTATGAGTGAGTGAGTGAATGTGTGTGTGTGAAGGGTGTGAGTGAGTGAGTGAGTGAGTGACACTGTGCATACTCTGCTCAGGGATGCCCAGTCCTTGCTTCATGTCAACATCTTCTCACCTGTAAAAGCTGCCCCTCATTCTCCGCGGCCGGCGTATCTGCAAAGACAGGGCAACCGAACGAAAAGCGACAGAGACTGAGCGTGTGCGAAGGGAAACCTGACTCAATCTACTATAACACGTGTACACAAGTTACATATGCAGATAGACAGACACACAGACAGGCACACATATAGACAGGCAGACAGGCAAGCAGACAGACACACACGTACACACACGTGCACACACACATACATACACCACCCACACAAACATACACCACCCACACAAACATACACCACCCACACAAACATACACCACCCACACACACACACCCACACACCCACACACACACACACACACACACACACACACACACACAGACAGGGAAGCAGACAGACACTCACACATGTACAGACTCACCGAGGAGACAGGAGGTGTGGTTGTGTTGGCATAGCACGAGGTCCATGAGGGTTGTCCCGCTGTGGTGAGATCCGACAACAAAGATGAACGTATGATTGGACATGTTCCTCGGAAGGTCTGCCAGGCCTTGGCGGGCGAAGGTTGCTGGCGCTGTGGCGTCCACAGAGTGCTGAGAAAAGAGGGGCACGTTGCTGGTGTTGTGCGCGTACCGCGCAAAGAGGGCCGCGCAGGTCAGGGTCACCACAATAATGCCCACAATTACGCAGGCACCCGCCATCATCTGTTGCCCTGGCGAGGCGGGGGTGGCCTTGTTCATGTTCGCACCGCTTGTCACCTGACGAGGAGGGATGCGGGTTGTTCAAGAACGATTGGGACTGGTGCGTCACAGGCAAAGACAGAGAACGTTGGTGGTGGTCCAGGAGAGCGAGCGACAGGAGCAATATCACCAGGGTGGAGCGTGTCAAATGAGCGAAGGGAGGCTCAGGGAGTATCAGAAGAGGCTGGGTGATGAGAGAATGAGCCACACCAAGGCGTGCGCTGATGCGTGGCAGGAAACCAATACATGCGTACAGGGCTGACACCACACTCACAAGAAAATAAGCACGGTAAGAAGAACAAGAAGGGGCAACCACGAGAAGCAATAGGGCACGAACATCACCCGCACGAACATGCACACACACACACACACACACACACACACACACACACACACATGCACACATGCACACATGCACACATGCACACACACCCCTTGCTCTTCTTGCGCTTGCAATGTTGCAATGCCACAAATTGGGACCAGCCCACGGCAAGCCGAGGGCAACGTGAAGCGAAGCTAGCCCTGGGCGATGCATGGCGACGGTGAGCAAAAGGAAGCGGCGGGGGGGAGGGACAGTGTTGAGCAAGCGTGGATGGATGTGAAGGTGGTTCGTGCGCTCATTCACGCGGTTGTGGTTGTTGTTGTTTTGAAGAGTTGGCGGCGACTTTGCCTATCGTTGGGGCGTTAAAGGTGCATGGAATTGTATTTGTTTTTGTTGGTCGAAGGAAAAAAATTGTGATGTTGCGAAAGTGGTTTGGAGGGCAAGGCAGCGATGGAGGAGGAGGAGGGAGCTTCGAAGCAACGCTGAAGCAGCTGCGAGGACACCTTGTCACGGTGAGCAGCTGCCTGCTATGGGTCTGCTACACGTGCTGCTGCTGCTGGTGCTGTTGTTGTTGGTGTTGTTGGTGGTTGTTCTGCTACTAGTGTGTACGTGTGCTGTATTATGTGTATGTGTGTTGCTGTGTTACTGTGCTGTTGTGGCTGTGGTGCTGTGCTGTCGTGTTGGTGTGTTGGTGTGTGCTGTATTCTGTGGACGTGTGAATGCGCTGCCTGTGCTGTTTGTGAGGACACAGAGGCTGTGACTGCCTCCCACCCTGGTTGCCCCTCCCACCCACATAAGCGCATCGCTCCATACCCATCTCAAAATGCACGTGCGTGCGCTTACCACTCGACCACGCTTGTAGGTGAACGGGAAACTGAACGGAAGTGGGTGGGACAATGAGGAAGAAGAGCTGTGCGCCGCGCTGGATGCGCAGCTCAAGGCACTGTGCGAATTCATCGAGGCAGAGGCCAAGCAGTTGCGAGAAGCAAAGCAGCTCGCCACCGTCGGCGATCACATGCAGGAGCTCCTCTCCTCCCCTCTCCTGCAGCAAATCGAGTCCGTGTGCCTCACACGTGCCAGCACCAAGCTGCGCCGCGTCTTCATCAGGTTCTTGTTGTGCCTGTTGACAGCCGCCGCAAGCCACGTATTCATCATGCACGAAGCGCCGCTCAAGGTCATCAACAACACCCTTCGCTTCTGCACGCAGCCAGCACAGAACACAACGGCAGGGCCGCAGCAATCGGAGAAGGAAGGTGGCCCAGGCCAGCATCGCAATGTCCCATCCACTCAGACACCCACTGCCTCCCCAGCAGCCACTGCTGGCAATGACGACAGCGACACTGCCACTGTTGACGGCAGTGAAGAGGACCCCTTGGCAATGCCTGACCCCGTTCTGCCTGAGGCGGAGGCAAAGCTGCTGTGTAAGCTCGTCGGGCGCGTCATGGCCTACGTGAAGCACGACGCCTCCCTGCTCAACCTCCTGTTCGTCAACACGCAGCCACCGTCCTTCCACGTCTTCGATGCCACTCTGCTTCTGCTCGAGCAGCCAGGCAAGCTGAGAACCGAGATCTTCACGGTGGTCACCACCATCTGCCGGCTATCGCGCCAGCACCGCGACCTGCAGCGGTACATTGCGTCGTCACGCCTCGTGACTGCGCTGTCGGGACGCGTGGCGCGGTCGCTCGCCGCCATGCCATCAGCGCTGCCGCTGCGGCGGCGTGCATGGATGGTGCCCGACACCACGCTCAACATCGCCGCCCCTGGCGCCGTCACATACATCAACACGCTGCGGCTGTGCACAAGCGTGCTTGGCTGTATGCCTGCAGTCTTGCAGAACAAGCTGTGCCGGTCCATCCAGCGTCGCGTGGTCGAGACAGTCATGCTGCCGCGACTGGTTGCCCCACACCACCACCACCACCACCAACAGCACCACCACCAGCACCAACAGCACCAACAGCAGCAGCAGCAACACCAGCAACACCAGCAACACCAGCAACAGCAGCAGCAGCAACAGCGAGTAGCGGATGGCGCGGGATTGCGTGACCGGGCGTCCACAACAACAACAACAACAACAGCGCCACCGCCGCAGCGGTCGCCACATCGTCAGCTCGTGCACCCACGCGGCAACGCGGCACGCGCGTGTGCGGCGATGACGGCGTACGTGGACATGACACTGCGCCATGTGGAGTGCTCGCGCCTGACGCATCTTGTCGCGCACGCGCTGCTCGGCCAATCCCATGCGGGGACACGCGTGTGGACGGTGCTGTGCCGGCGCATGGCACCTCCTCGCAGTTACAGCGGTGATGATGATGGCAATGATGATGATGGCAATGATGATGATGATGATGATGATGATGACTTGGGCGGAGCAGAGGCGAGGAAGAGTGATGGCGACGCGCAACGTTTTCGCACGAACGATGAGGGGGGAAGTGAGGACTGCGAGAGGAGCGCCACGACCACGGCGGCGTCACAGCTGCGGCACACCACGCTCGCCCTCATGGACACCCTACTGCAGCTGCAACTGCCGTGTGTGTACGAGCGGGCGGCGCTAGCACATTTGCGGCGGCAGCGCAAGTACTACGACCACGGCGCAATCCAGTCACGGCATGACGCATCTCACATGGGGGCACCGCCAAGCATCGCCGACCTGTCCACCTCCACGGTGCTGTCTTGCCCGCTGCAGCAGGTGTTTCTGCTCGGCGCCGCCACGGAGATGCAGGCAGCCACGTTCCTGCTTGCGCTGCGCATTGTCGGGCGCGGGCAGTCTCCTGACCAGCAGCCGTTTGCACAGTACCTGCACAGCGCACGCGGCAGCATGGCAGAGGCCAGGCGGTGGTGGACGCAGCCGGGCTGTCGTTTGGATGGCGGTGGGGATGGCTGTTATTCTGACAGCAATTCTGGCACCCGTGATGACGCTGCTGATGGAGGAGGAGGATGTGGTGGTGGTGGTGATGACGAAGGGCATGACGCTGAGGCAGACGCGGCGTTCCTGACGGCAATGTTGCAGTGCATTCACGACTTTCTCAACGGATCCCTGTCGGTGTGTTCACTTGTGCTGATTATGGTACACTGCAGCGATGCCAAGCATGTGTTTACTGTTGCTTGCACATGCATTCTTCTTCCGTTCACACACACTCACACACACATGCACGCACACACACACACACACATACACGCACATACACACACACACACACGCACACACACACACACACACACACACACACACACACACACACACCAGGCGACGTTCCTGATCACGGGGCTTGTGTGCCAGCTTGCGGCGCTGGACAGTGATGAAATACGAACGTTTATGTTTGAGCCTGAGACGGAGCAAGCGTTTTTTGCGCACGTGGAGGCAGCGCGTCGCTCCCATTGCACTCTCACACCGCCATCGCCCGTGACCAGCGGCACCCGCTCTCCACCTGACCCATTCCCGTTCTCCTCACAGCCGCCAACAGCCACCAACCCAACTGCCACAACAGCGACAGCGTCATCATCAGCACCATCATCATCAGCACCATCATCATCGTCATCACGACGATCGTCGCCATCGTCGTTGCTGTTGTCGCCACCGCTACTAACCACTGCCCTGCGCATTGTGCGTCAGCAAGCCAGCGCGCTCTTTGCTTCCGATCCCCGTGTTGTTCGTGATGTTGCTGCATTTTATCGCCGCGATCGCGCGAAACTTTATTCCAAGCGCAAGAGTGCACGTGCCCGTCGTGCCCGCTCCGCACACCAACACCAACACCAACAGCAGCAGCAGCACCAACAGCAGCAGCAGCAGCAGCAGCAGCAGCAGCAGCAGCACCAACAGCAGCAGCAGCAGCAGCAGCAGCAGCAGCAGCAGCAGCAGCAGCAGCAGCAGCAGCAGCAGCGGGGGAGAGGAGGGAGAGGAGGCAAGTCTGGGCTGCGCGAAATGCTTTTGCAGCAGGGGCCCGTCGTGCCTGCAAGCCTATCGACCTCTGACTCTGACGCGGGCCACTCCCATTCGCAGCAGCCGGCATCACCATCGTCATCGTCAGCAACAGTGCACGACAGCGCGTTGTCGTCGCTTGATTTGCAGCGCCACGACGCCAACAGCGTGTCGTTCACCTCCTTGGACGCCATGTCCGAGGCAAGCGTCTTCATTGGCGGCTTTGAGTCTGGCGCCACGCCCGCCAGCCAGAGCAGCATGAACACGTCTAACGTGTTTACTTTCTGGGACGGCGATGGCGATTCCGTGCTGGATGCCAGCATATCCGGACACATGGCGCTGACCAAATCATCCACTGCTCGTTCGTTCATGGGTAACGCCAACGCCAGCGGCGATGGCGGCGGCGGTGGGCGCATGTCGCTCATGTCTGACAGCATGTCTCGCTTTGAGCGGTCTGTCTTTGGGTTTGGTCAGGGCCCAGCCATGCCTGCGCTTGTGGAATCGCCAACTGCGCCCACCACATCTTCATCGCCATCAGCAGCAAGTGGCGGCGCAGGCACGCTGCACCACGATGGGACTGGCAGTGGTAATGGTGCGTTTTCGATCACCGCCGCAGCACCAGCTGGTGTCTTGTCCAGCACCCCGATCAAGGGCGACCTGAAGCGTGTGCAGAGCAACCGCAGCAGCAGCCGTGCCAGCACCGCTGCGCCGCCCTCATCGCGTATGCTTGCGCTGCGCATTGTGCTCTTTGACGAAATGCTGAAGGAACTCTCTGCGTTTGCCCTCGAACACTCCATCAACATTGTGGAACGCGCGTCTGATGACATGTGATTGAGACGGCTGTCGTTGCTGTTGTCATATCATGTTACATCACACGTTTCATGCTGTTGGCGACAGCGCATGCCACTGCTTGCTGTCCTAGCCCTGTAGCAGACCTGCCTACTTATTCGCCCGTCTTGTCTCCGCGCGAGTGTGTGTGTGTGTGTGTGTGTGTGTGTGTGTGTGTGTGTGTGTGTGTGTGTGTGTGTGTGTGTGTGTGGCGCTGTCTCTTTGCCTGTCTGCCTCTGCCACCGTCGCTTCGGCTTCTATTTGACCTCGAATTGTTCTGTTACACGCGTGGCTCTTGTGGCCTCACGCACTCGAACGCTGGCACACTGGCACGTCTGCTCTCCCCCTGCCCTTTGTTTGTATCATGTGCATGACGCGCTTGCAGAAAACGCTTGTCTCATATGCGTGTGCGTGTTTGCACGCCAGACCATTCGATTAACACAACAGCGATTACAAGCAGGAAACTAACAAGCACAGCATGTGCACAGCGGACACGCTTGTGCGAACAACAACGCACTGAACCCAGTGAAAGGCAGGAACCGACATCGCTGGCAGCAAGAACGGCACACTGTTCGACAATAACTCGCTTGGTGGGGTTGACGTCATTGTGTTGCAGCAAAGACGCACACACACACACACACACACACACACACACACACACACACACACACATACACACACACACACACACCACCCCTGTCCACGCCCCTCAGGATTCGTTGCCCATGTCATCATCGTACGCAGCATCATGCGCGGCAACTCCAACATCACCGGCACCACCGTCTTCGTCGTCTTCGTCGTCGCTGTCGTCTGCAACGAGGAGATATGCGCCGTTTGTGGTCTTGCTTCTGCTCCGGAGTACGGCCACCACCACCGCTGCTGCAATCACCACCGCACCGCCGCCACCCGCCACTCCCTCAACCAAAAGCGCCTTCTTGCCGCCCTTGTGGCCAGTTTCGTCGTCGGTGTTGGTATCATCATCATCGTCGTCACCACCGCTGCCGCTGCTGCTGTGGTCGATGCACGACTGGTACGCCGTCTTGTTGGCAGCGCGGAACAGACAGATCCACTCCTTCGTGCACTCGTCGTTGCAGTCGCCCTGTGCGATGCAGAGGCAACGCAAATGGAGGCCAGGGAAGAGGGGGGAGGGGGGAGGAGAAAGGTGAGGAAGGTGAAGCCGAGCGCACAGACGCGCAGTGGACAGAGAAGGGGCAGCGATAGCATTTCGCATGAGATTGATGGGCAGACACGTCAGACAAAGACAGAGAGACAGGCAGGCAGACACCACGCACACATACAGACACAGACACATACAGACACACAGACATAGACACACACATACAGCCAAAGACAGAGAGACAGGCAGGCAGACACCACACACACACACACACACACACACACACACACACACACACACACACACACACACGACACACACACGACACACACACACACACACACACACACACACACACACACACACACACACAGACACACACAGACACACACAGACACACAGACATAGACACACACATACACACACCTGGTCCACCCCTTGTCGCAGGACGTGGAGGAAATCATGCATGACGGCGGGCTTGTTGGCCATCTTGGTGACGGTGGCGTTGAGGCTCTTGGCAGTGAGATCGCTCACCCCGTACTGGCTGGCAAACGAGTACAGGTCCCTCCACCCGTACTCCGGGTGGTGCACGTCCACATACCGCGTGTGGTGGTCCACGATGGTGCCGCTGCCCCGGTCGTAGGTGACAATGCGCAAGCTCGGGTTGTTGCGGTACACTGGGGTGACCGATGGCGCAATGAGCAGCGGCACAACGCGCGCGGCCTCGTGCGGGATGCGAAACTCATCGGAGTGCAGGTGTCCAAACAGCTGCGCCTTGACCACGTCCTCGAATTCGGACAGGAGCATGTTGTACTGCGTGATGCGGTCCGTGCGCCAGTTCTGCTTCTTGTCGTAGCTGCCGAGCGTTGGCGGGATGTGGCCCACAATGTACACGGCGGCGTTTGCTTGGCGCGCGTCGCGCAGCTGCTGCTTGAGCCACTCAAACTGGCCGAGCGGGTCGTGGGCCGAGGCAGAGTCTGGCACGTGGTAGGGGGAGTAGATGACGGTGTTGAGGGAGATGAGGCGCAGCGTGTCGGAGACGGCGCGCATGAGATACCCGCCTTTGCGCACGCTGGCCAGCTCGCTCGGCGTGAGCGTGCTGTTGAAGGCGTCGGCGACAAGCGACAACAGCTTGCTGTCGGGTTTTGTGGTGTCCAGGAAGTAGTCTGGGATGACGTCGTTGTTGCCGAGGGAGATGGCCACCTCTGCGTGTGCCTCCGTGAGCGGCGCATGCAGCGTGTGGGTTCCGGGGAAGGTGGTGCTGAGCAGCTCGGAGACGTTGTGCATGAGCGCATGCAGCATCTCAAACGGCTGCGGCACCTTGTCGTTGTCGTGCCGTGAGAAGTCGCCTGTCACAAGCACAAAGTCTGGGTCGGGCAGCGTGGCCTACAAAAGCACAAAAGCCGGGGTAGAAAAGGGGGAAGTGAAAGCCCGGGGGTTGGGGGGTTGGGATGAGATGAATGACAAGGAACCGGCGGAGGGGAGGGGGCGTGTCAAAATCGTGTGTGGGGGGAAAGAGAACGCCTGCGTGTGTACACAAAGCAAAGCAAAGTCACGTAGGCACAGACACAAAGTCCGAACACAATGCACAAGGTGGACGCCGACAGATACAAACACACAAACACACACACACAGACACAGACACACAGGCACAGACACAGACACACACAGACACGTGCAAAGCCACACACACACACACACACACACACACACACACACATACATACATACACACACACGTACACACATACATACACACACACGTTCAGACGCACACACAGACACAGACAAACACACACCCAGACAAACACACACACACACACACACAACACACACACCTTGGCTTGGGCGATGGCTTGCTGGACGAGGGCCCAGGGCGAGTCACAGCCAAAGGCACCAAGCACCGGCGACTGCTGCGGAGAGGTGCAGCCGCCGAATGCATCTGACGTTCCATAGTATGGATCCACATGCAGGTCGCTCAACCAGATGAACTTGCCCTCTCCCTGCACAGGCGCGCCAAGACTGGCATCCCCGACGCCAAGGGCAACGACCAAAACAGTCCAAAGCACAACAGCGCCGCACATCGTCATGAGCCAAGGTTGGCTAAAACGAGGGAAGTGGGGGAGGGAGGATATGGGGAAGGGTGTTCAGGTGGTGGAGTCGAGGCAAACAAACACAACGACAACGACGACGAAGATGACGCATGCTCTCCAACAACGCTGAAAGTTGTGAGGATTTGCAAAAGACTTTGCACGATGTTCGGCAAACTTGGACGGAAGTTGGCGACGTTTGCGCGCCGTGTGCGCTCTGCGTTTCTTGAGCTCAGCGTGCACCAGATTGGCATCGCCGTTGCAGTTGGCATTGTCGGTGGCTTCTTCCCCATCCCAGGTGGGTTTTCGTGGTGTGTGTGTGTGTGTGTGTGTGTGTGTGTGTGTGTGTGTGTGTGTGTGTGTGTGTGTGTGTGTGTGTGTGTGTGTGTGTGTGTGTGTGTGTGTGTGTGTGTGTGTGTGTGACGGGGATGAATCAGTGTGACCGGCGTTGGTGTGGGCGTCGTTGAGTGTGCATGATGCAATGCCATGCGTAATGTTGGTGACACACATGCACGTATTGATCCGTTCTTCAGACGAACACACACACACACACACACACACACACACACACACACACACACACACACACACACACACACACACACGCACACACACACACGCACACACACACACACGCAAATGTGCTTGGGTGTTTTGTTTGATTAGGGCTGACGACACTGCCGTGTTTGTTGCTGTCGACCTTGGGTCGCCTTCCCACAGCTGGTCACATTGTCGTGCAAGGTGAGCCTGTTTGTTCATTTATCCATGTTCTCGTGCTCCCATGTGTGATGGTTGCATTGCAGGGTGCATGCAGTTGTGTTGACAGCCACTTGCCTTGTCTGCACTCACTTCCCCTCTGCGCAATCCCAAACCCCTTGCTCCTTGTTGTTGCTCTTGGCCCTTCTCTCCTTCTCCCCGTTGTCAGCTCTTAATTTGGCACTAGCAATTCCCAACCTGGTGACTGTCCCACACTTTGCCTGCTTTGGGGAGGCGTTATGGCATGGCCAGCTCTTCAGCTTCCACTACCGTGAATGCATGTGCGTGTATGTGTGTTGTGTGTTGTATTGTATGAGTGTATTGTGTGTGTTGTATGTGTGTATTGTGTGTGCTTGTGTATTGTGTGTGCTTGTGTGCTTGTGTGTTCTTTTGTGTTGTATGTGTGTTGCGTTGCATGTGTGTTGTATGTGTGTATTGTGTGTGTGTGTGTGCATGTGTGCTTGTGTGCGCGAACATGCATTTGTGTGCGCTGTGGTTCTCTCGGCGTTGCATGTCTTCCTTTCCGCACTCACCATCTCCCAACACGTGCCTTGTGCTTCCATCTTTGCGACACACGCACACACACGCATACATGCGCGTACGCACTCTTTTCCTCTGTTTCTGCTTCTGTGTAGAGCGGATACGGTGGCTGTGGTGGCGCAGGCAAAGGATGCGCCCGTGGCAACGATACAGCGCTTTGCCATCGCATTCCTCCTGGGCGCCTTGGCGTGGGCGATTGTGTTTCTGCCCGTCATGTTTCCCTTTGCATACTACACGTCCACCATTGTTGCCCGCTTTCTTCGCAAGCACGGGTCGCACCCCGCTTCCTCTTCCACCGCGGCTGCGACGGCCCACGCATCCGCAGCTGCCTTGGCGGCATTGTCATCATCAACATCATCATCATCCTCAACAACAGCGAAGAAGGCAGCCGCAGCCGCTGCAGACATGAAGGCATCGCCCAAACCATGACAAGCAGGCAGTGGAGAAGGCCAAGAACAGCAAGGAAGAGGCACTTTGCATCAAGTGTCACCTGCGCGGAGGCGGGCGACGTGCGTGAGGTGACATGTGATGTGACAACATGACATGCACGGGACGTGAGTGTGAGCGACAACAGTGGCATCTCCGCTGCTGCCGCTGCTACTGCTTGTCATGTTTGCTGTTGCTTGGTGTATAGTATGTTAAATGCGCGCCTGTCCATGTGTTGTGTGCGAAACATGGATTGCAGCAGAAAAAATAAAATAAAATAAACCGCGCCCTGCACCAGTGGATTAGCCAATCAGCGTGCACTTGTGGCGCCGCACCCCAAAACAACAGCAAACACAAAGGACACCCCGCCATCATCACACGGCACCCGAGCTGCTGCTGTGTGTGCGCTGCACCTTCCACGCAAAGCAGCCCACCCATTGTTTTCTTTGGTCTGCTGCCACGAGCTGCGCTGTGCTGTGCGGCAACGAAGGCCACGAAACTCAAAGGAAAGGAAGGAAGAAAGAAGGAAGTATCAACGACGACAGAGGCAGAACTACAGAGCCAACAGAACTGTGGAACCACAAGCGGCCGCAGTGCACAGCAACAACAACACATAAGACAGCAAGACAGACAAGAAAAAGAGAGAGAGACAGAGAGACAGACAGACACGTAGACACGACAGCCCAACAGCTTTGCAGCTCCTGCAACTCGATCGGTGGTTGTGCCTTGCAAAGGAAAGCAGCAGCCACGATGAGGACAGCGGTGCTGGCAGCGACGCTGCTGTGCTGCTGCGTTGTCACTTCACTCCTGCAGCAAGCCCAGGCGCTGCAGTTTCAGGGTTGGTTTGTTGATCTGGAACGACTCCCTCTCCCTGGACCGCTTGTATGCACCAGGAGTTGCTCTGCACGGTCTCTTGCCACCAACGCTCTCGAGCTGCCGCTCAACTCACGTTAAATATGCCACGTTTTCGTTGCCTGCAGGCACAAGCTATGCCCAGTACGCGTTTGAGACAGGCTACACGCAAAACTCAATCAGCCTCACCTTCCGCACACGCGACGAGGCTGCCTTGTTGCTCTTCATGTGCGTATGTGTGTGCATGTATGTGTGCGTATGTGTGCGTGTATGTGTGTGTGTGTGTGCTGTGTGCGTGCTGTGCGTGTGTGTGCGTGCTGTGTGTGTGTGTGTGTGTGTGCGTGTGTGTGTGTTTGTGTGTCTTTTTTGTGTGTGTGCCTGCGTTCGTGCCTGCGTGTTGTTGTGCTGCACCGTGGCGTACTACCCTACAAGCATCTTGCGTGCTCTCCGCTTGTCCTTGCCTTTCCCCACATATTTGTACTAACACGCACGCACGCGCGATCAACCGCACATACATCCTTTGTTTTCGACAGAGGCCCCGACTCTGGAAAGGCAGATTATCTGTCAATCGTGCTTGTGGACGGTCGTGTTGTTGTTTCGTTCGATCTTGGTACGAAGGAATGAGGCTGTGTATGTGTGCGTGCGTGCGTGCGTGTGCGTGTGTGTGTGTGTGTGTGCATGCGTGTGTGTGTGCATGCGTGTGTGTGCGTGTGTGTGTGCGTGTGTGGGTACGTGTGTGTGTGCGTGTGCATTTGGTGACAAAGACCGGCAATCGTGTGCTCGTGCCCCGCTGGTTGCGCTGTTTTCTTGTTCTGCTTCTCCCTGTTCTGCTTGTTCTCCCTGTCCTCCTCTCAATGTGCTGACGGCACGTTCGTGCAACTCATGAACTGACCCGTGTTGCACTGCAGGTGGTGGCGAAACGCTGCTGTCATCGGAGGATCGGTACGATGATGGGTTTGATCACACCGTCTTCTTCAGGCGCCAGGCCCTGGCTGCAACGCTGCGGGTTGACGACTCCCTCATCGCATCAGCAACTGCACCGGTTTGTTGACAGAGAGAAGGGGGCGAGAGAGAGTGTGTGCGCGTACCGCGAAGAAGAACACGACACAGACACAGACACGCACATATACAAACACATACACACACTGACACACAGACACACAGACACACGGACACACAGACACACACATATACAGATACACGCGCACGCACACACACACATACAGATACACGCGCACGCACAGACACACACACACACACAAACATACAGACAGACACACACAGACACAGACGCGCACGCACACACAGACACACACATATACAGATACACGCACACGCACACACAGACACACACATTTACAGATACACGCACACGCACACATATATATACACACAACGTAGCGCCTCACATACATCTTTGCACGCCCGTATGATTGCAGGGTACCTCCAATACGCTGAGCGTGGCCGGGCTCGATGGCAACGGCATCATCTTCCTCGGTGGCCTCAACCCAGCCTATAGCATGGCAGCCAGAAGCGCAACAAGCGTACGCCTCAACAAGCCAGCGCTATTCTTGTCTTTGTGCGCTGTGCGTGTGCAGATGCACGGTTTATTGTTGTATCGCAACACTTGATGGCAGTGCTCATGCAAGGTTGCATGCTGTTTGACAACGGGTTCAGGAGTTTTCTCTGGCGCCTGGCCTGAATGGCTGTGTGCTTGCAAGCACCGTTGACGGAACAGATCTCTTGGCGATGGCACCGATGCAGCAAGTCCAAGTCCTGTCGGACTGCGGCCTGCCCGCATGCTCTTTGCCTGCAGGCTTCCTCTGTCCATCCATGGCACGCCCCATCTGCTCCGGTACCGTACTTTCCTGGCTGTGCTTACCCAGCAGCTGTTGTTGTGTGCGCTGTGCTGCCCCGTGCTATGCTGCTGTGTGCGAGCTGTGTTGTTACATCTGACTGCTATTCGTCATGTCTCTGCTGCACCATCTTCGGCAGGAACGACTGCGTCTCCTTCGGTTGTTTGTGAATGTGACGAGCTGGCTGCAGGTGGCGAGTGCAACTTCATTGTCGCAGGTGCGATGCTCAAGGGCGCGACACGTGGTTGTCGCGCTGTAATCGCCCACATGGCGCATGTGCAGTCACCGGGGACACACACACTCACATACACACTCACATACACACTCACACACTCACACACACTCACATACACACTCACATACACACTCACATACACACTCACACACTCACACACACTCACATACACACTCACATACACACTCACATACACACTCACACACTCACATACACACTCACACACTCACACACACTCACATACACACTCACATACACACTCACACACTCACACACACTCACATACACACTCACACACACACTCACACCCTCACACACTGACACACACACACACATACACACATACACACACACCCTCACACATACACACTCACACACTCACACACACACACACTCACTCACACATACACACTCACACACTCACACACACACACACTCACTCACACACACTGACACACACACTGACACACACACTCACTCACACACACTCACTCACACACACACACACACAACATACATGCATACTCTGTCTCCCCCTGTACCCAACAGCCTTCACCGCTGGCAGCGACGGCATTGGCACGATTCTTCAGGATCCCATTGCCACCGAAACGTTTACGCTCGTCCTTGATGTCAATCCCTCCGTGGACCTCCAAGACGCGGACCTTGTCACGTTCAGCCCAAATCCGGCTGTGCCCGGCGACACATTTGAGCTTTCTCTGGTGGCCGGTCGTCTGCTCCTCTCGTATTCCCTCGGCTCCGGCACCGCCATCACCATCGGTGCGCACACGTGTCCCCATTCTTCATTGAATGTGCTGATGTCGTCTACACATTTGTATCGGGTGCTGCTTGACTGTAGATGGGTAGCAAGATGGGTAGCAAGATGGGTAGCATTCGCCATCGTCGTCAATGTGTCTGCTTTTAACTCCTGGGTGTGAAGGCCTCACAGCAACGCACGTACACGCACTCTCTCACCGACGCGCGTGCCTTGCAGCTGATGATGCGCTTCCTGTGGATCAGTGGTCGCGGGTTTGGGTTCAACTCAACCAGAGAACGGCAACGGTGTGTTTGTGTAAACGTGTATGTATGTGTGTGTGTGTGCGCGTGTGTATGTGCGTGCGTGCGTGCATGTGTGTGTGCGTGCGTGCGTGCGTGCATGTGTGTGTGTGTGTGTGTGTGCGTGCATGCATGTGCGTTCCCTTCTTCCCATTGCCAGGGATCTCCATCCTTGTGATCGCCTCCGCGTAACTCACGCGTCCTCGCCTCTGCGCTCGTGCTGCTGTTATTGCTGTTGTCGCCGTTCCCTCTCATCCACGCCAATGCCAACAGGTTACGGTCGACGACACACCGGTCGCAACTGCAACCTCGAATCCCGGATCCACCGTCCTCAACATCCCCGCCGGCGCCATGCTCATGTTCGTGCACACACACACACACACACACACACACACACACACACACACACACACACACACACACACACACACACACACACACACACACACACACACACACACACACACACACACACACACAGTTGTCATCATATTCGATTTTTTTTTGGGGGGGGGGGGCTTGCCCCCGACAAATGACTTGCCAGTGCCCATGTGTTGTGAACCCCACACCCTAAAATGTTCCGTCGCAACACACAACCCTACAACCCCCACGACCACTTTTGTGTTGGCCGTGGATTTGTGGGAAAACTCTCACGCGCGAGCGTTGAAGGGCTGGCACCCCTTTATTTGTGGTTTGC